TGCTCTGTTCCAGGCTCAGCATCGTGGCACTTCCACCTTTGCCTAATGAGCAAACCATGAAAGTCTGACGGTAAAACTTTTCCTAAACACCAACACCACCAATTCAAAATCAAGCATAATCCCACCCAAAGTTTTCAGGTCTTTGGTTAAAATAGAATCTATGGAAGTGCTAGTGGTTCAGTGGCTGCAGGGAGATGAGCTCTGCCTGTGCCCATGCTGACCTGGTGCTGCAATGAATGTTCCATGATGTGGGACAATAAATACTATACATGTCCCTCTCCAGAGCCCACCACGTGGCTTAGAGTGCAGAGGATGCTTTTCTATTGCAACTTGCCAGCAGCACACTCTATGTGTGCGTGTGTTTTTTGTTCTATGTTCCTTGGCCAAGTGACATTTTCCACAGATGGTGCCTGAGCTCAGTCTGCACCTGCACATGTATGTAAATGGGGCCACAATTATCCAGTTTGTTGGAACTGTTCTTTCAGCCTAAGCCCCTTTTTCCTCACTCCATATGCTTAGAGCAAAAGAATTTGATCTCTTGCATACACCAAATTTTTACTGCAATGGATGCACTACAATTACTGTCCTCTCCTACTGTACAAATCAAATTTGTTGTTCATTTATTTCCCCTTTGGCATACAGCCTCTTTGTTGTTGTTTTCTCAGCATTTATCATCATAGCCAAAAAGCAAGCTGCAGTATCTGGAAGCTATACCTACATTATTAAATAACTCTGAGAATACTCACGGGGAGATGGGCTTTTTCTGGCTTGAAAAGCATAGCAGAGTGAAAGGGCTGAATTTCATTTTGCTAAGGTTCTTGCAGGAATACTAGAACAAATGGGCAGCTCTTTCTGTGTAATATAAACATAGATCTAAGTGCTTCCTGGTCCTCTTGGAGAATGAGTGTTTAGAAACATAAGTCTGGGGGTGGCTTCCTGGGTTGTTTCATCCTTGGAGTTGATTTAAATAGGTTGGAGCTTGAGGTGGCCATGGGAGGTGATTGAGTGACTGTTGACATTTATAAGGATTCAGGATCCTTGTGAATCAGAAACATGATTTGGAGGAGGATGGAAAAGCTGAGGGCAAAGGTAGAGTTGCAGACTTCTCACATCACAGAATTTTTCCCTGCCAGCTGGCATAACTGCGCCACACAGTGCATGTCTCAATGGAAATCCCTCTGCCTGAACTGAATGGATGCAGCAGAGATGCAGCTCAGTGTGGAGCAGGATGGACAGAGGTGTCTGGCTGATGGCAGTTTTGGCAGTTTCACTGCCCAGGCAGTGCTGAGTCTGGTCTGATGCAAACTGGCACGCTTCAGTGTGGACGCTCATATGGCAAACATTGATGCTTGGCATGTATTCTTGAATTGTTTCCCTCTTAACTTGCCATACTTCTGTCTTTGATATCTGTTTTTAATTCTGTCTCTGGTCCACACACAGTGAGATGTCTGCACTGTATCACAGAGGGACTGAATGATGCCTTGCCCTGAGTATTCAGACACCTCCTGCCATCCCAAGAGTCATGCAGCAGGTCAGCCTGGTGCTGCAATGTGTAAGGTAAGATATTCTGGTGCTGATTTCCCCACACACAATTTTTAGTGAAATTCTCTAGTGTCTTTAGCCTTACCTAATGTAGAAAGATAAGCTGTCTCTAATCTACTTATTAGAAGATCTACAGCTCTGCAGGTCAATGAAGAGTCAAAAGCATCGTTTAATAGCTGACCTGTGTTGCTGGCCCCTGCCTGTAAGTGGGTTCTTGCAGGGAATCCAAAGCAGCTGCTTGGCAAGGATCGGTGATGTGTCTGTGCAAATCACAGCCTGGGGCCAGAGGCTGATTATTTCTGAGTCGGTGGCATTTTTTCCTTCCAGGAATGTTGTGTTATTGTGTCTGAAATGTTGTCTTTCTCCTATGCAGTGACAGAGGCTGACCTTGCTCCCACTGCTGCTCTGGGGTCCTTGCTCACAAGGATGTGGAGGAGAGGGGATACTTCCCCTGGGTTTATTCTTAGTTCAAAATACTACCAGGAAAAAAACCCTGTAAAATCCCCACTGGGGAGGTTTATCCTCAATTACTGCTGTCTCATTTCCCCCCATCAAATTCCTCATGGACTTGTCATCAGCATTCATCTTGCTTGTGCGGTTGGTTCCGCCCTGACCCACACTGTTCCCTAGAGGGGAGGGGCATCCTTGTCTGAGTCAGATGAGCTCTGCTCACACCCTGCATCCTCCATGCTCTGATGTGTGCTTTGCAAGCACCAGCCGTGCTCAGGCCCACTGCAACACACTTGGCTGTATGCTACACATTCACACTGCAGCACCTAGTTCTTGTTTTAGGCTGGATCGATGGGTTGAGGCCAATTGTAGAGGCTCAACAAGACCAAGTGTCAGGTACTGCACTTTGGTCACAACAACACCATACAGTGCTACAGGCGTGGGGCAGAGTGGCTGGAAAGCTGTGCGGAGGAAAAAGTTCTGTGGGTGTTGGCTGATGCTCGGCTGAAGTCAGCAGTGGTGAGTCAACAGTGTGCCCAGATGGCCAAGAAGGCCAATGGCATCCTGACTCTTATCAGAAATAGTGCAGCCAGCAGGAACACTGAGATGATGGTCTCTCTGTACTCAGCACTGGTGAGGCTGCACCTTGAGGGCTGTGTTCAGTTTTGGGATTCTCACTACAAGAAAGACATTGAGTTCGTGGAGCTTCTAGCCCAGGGATCTGCAGGACTCATGTTACAGAGCTTAGGTAATACTCAGGAAACATCAGCTTTCTTTGTTGCAGGGCTTGGAAAGAAACAAGAGCACATTTTGGTGCTGGGTGAAAGATGTACAACGTCGTCTTCCTCCCATGACACCATAGGCTGCATTGAGATCATCTGCAAACTGCTTCTGCAGGTACCAACTTCAGAACTGCTTAGAGAAGGTTAGTTGCACAGGGGGACTTGCAAACAGCTGACACTTGTGCTGACAGGAGGGTAAAAAGACAATGAAACGTATCTGACAGGCACACTCTTGCCTTGCACAAGGCTCAGAGGAGAGCATTTGTCAGAAAGGATGCAGTGGGTACATGGCTGGCCGTGTTGTGCTGCCTGCAAAAAGGTCTCTGGTGTCTTCAAACGCCACTTACTCTCAAATCATGAAAAATGCTTAGAAGCCAGTGTTGATGCAAACAGAGCTAAAAAAAAAAAATTATCTGGTAAGGTTCCACAGCTAAGCACTTTGGCACTAATCTTGTGGTTGGACATGTGTGGGCTTGTGTCCTTGCAGAGCCCCTCAGATTACAGAAGAAGCGTACACAGGGTTGTAAACCACCTGTTTGGCTGAGATTTTGCTGGATAGGGTCTTAGTGTGGGGTTTTGAAAGGCAGCTGGATGATTTTAATCCATGTGTCCATTAATTTTCACCAGGAACTATAACGCATAGGTGACTTTTGACACTTTCTTGTTTACCAAGTATTGGGTGAATGTTTCAAATTTTCAGTTTTTTTCCAGCCATTCTCGCTCTTTCATCCCACTATAATCTACCTTGTTACCAGTCATCGGGGTTCAAATTTTCGTAGAATCATTAAGATTAGAAAAGACCACTAAGATAATCAAGTCTGACCCCAGCCCATCCCCACCATGCTTGCTGACCATGTCTCTCAGTGCTGTACCGTCATGTTTCTTGAACACCTCCAGGAACAGTGACTCCACCACTTCCCTGGGCCCAGCTATTTCTGTAAACCCCTTGGCTTCAACTAGCTAGACACCAGCCAGTTATATGAGAAGCTTTGGATGGAAATACTTAGAAATCCATGGGATTTGCATAGGTTCCGCTCTACTGCATATGCACCGAATCTTGGTGAATCCAAAATTGAATGAGTCACCCAAAAATAAAAAAAAAATTGTTTAACTGAATCTTGAATTTCGATCAGATCTTTCTAATGGCAAAACAAACATTAAATAATAGCTGAGTGGTTAGTTTTAGAGCCTGGGACCTGTGGTGTGTGTGCACTCAAGCTTTTTCTTGGTGGTGATGGGATCTTAGTAAACACAGTTCCTACAAGGTTGGTGACAGTAACCCCAAGTCTTTTCAGTAACAAAAGACAACTGCCTTCTTTGTTAAATACAGTGCTGCTAAAAAATGCCCAAGAAGTTTGTCCTGGTGGAGAGGCTGTTTTTCCTTAAATCAGTGCTCCATGTCAGAGCTGTGCTCTCAACACACGTCTGTTCCTCAAAGGTCCCTTCACTTCCATGCCTTCCAAGGTCAAGCTTCAACGCGAGATTTGAAGATGTTAAATGTCATCAAACAGTGGGGCAGTTTGTTAAGCACGCTCAGAATCTAAGACAATTGTCTTTTTCTGCCCTTGCTGCACAAGCTTAAAAATGTAAAGAAATTCCAGCAACTTGCTAGCAAATTTAGTATTATCTGGCCTGCTCTTCTGATACAGCGACTTCTGCATATGTGCCCAGTGTTCCCTGCCTATCACATGGGTTATATTTTCTGTTCTTTGCCATTGCAGCTTTTATTAAGTGTTTCTTGGGCTGAGTCCCGCTGAGTCAATGGAAAAGTACTGCTGCTGCACTGGAAGCAGGAACTGGCTGTAGGGTTCTTTCTAGTCTGAACTTGACACTGGCTGTAATTCACGACATATGCAGCAAGATGGGTAATAACAGTCCAGTGACAAGTGTTACCTTTTATTCTGACGAGGTAAATTAGTATATGTGTATGCGTGCCTATCTCCTCTGTGTTCTGTTGTGCTCTGCTTTCAGAGTTCCTTCTTTAGGACTCTAGTGATGCTTTGCACAGAAGATTTGAGAGTTGTAACTTTCAGTAGGAAAAGAAATGCTAAGCTTTGTCAGATGTTTGAACCAGTGTTTGAGGTCAGCCAGATTAGAGGAAAATGCTCGTTGAGAGGTCTGCCCTGTTAATGAATTGTAGCACTTTTGCACTCGTTAGATATCAGCCCAATATAGGCTGGCACTCCTGTGGCTATCTAGGGAGCATATGGCTAATGTGATCCAGCACCACATGACAACCAAGATCAGGACACTGGAACTCTCAGATCACCAGGGCTGAGTTCTCCCTTGCTTTGAAGGCGAGATCACGGGCTGCACGTAGAGATGAGTGAAGATGTTTGCTGCTAATCCTGTTGGCTGGGATGTGTTGGCATCACCCCAGGTGAGAGAGTTTTTGCTTATCTCACATGTGGATGAGGAAAGTAGGCCTAAAAGAAGAAAAAGTTCTGCAGAAAGAAGCCTTCAGAAGTACTAAGTGCTGGGGAAAGTGAATACTTATTTTCAGTTTGGAAAAAGGGATTCTGAGCTGTAGGCTGTGCACAGACATGTGCATCCTGCATCTGGTATACTGCAGAGACTCCATCTACTGAGATTGAACTTTGCAGAACATGAAAACCAGCCAATGCTTCCACTGTATAGCACATAGGAAAATGGCTCTGTTGTACCCGGCTTTACATCTTTAATACAAAAAGACTGCATTGTACTTTCCAGGCACGGCCTGAATGCAAATTCATAAATATGGTTTATATGGCTGCTTTGCTTCCACAAGCTTTTTCTTACAGTCCCTACTTACTAAAATGTTAAGTCCTTCATTGAAATTCCACCTCCAGAAGAACAACCCTCAATCAGCTGTCCCTGGGAAAACAGAGCAAGCTATGACAGCAGAAGCATTGTGATGAGCTTCCCCTGTGCTCCCTTGGCATTTACTGAAAATTTTCCATTATTTTGGATAAGGGGTCAGTGCTCCTCTGGAATCTCATTTGTGCTTTTGATTCTCTATTATCTATCAAAACATAGCATCATTTAAAACAAGCACCAGAATCAGAAACCAGCCTTTGGATAACTTGGGAAGAGCCTGTTTTAATAATATTTTTTCCAATGATTCTGTGACTCAGGTAGCAATGAGCTGCCATACCCGTCTGACCCTGTACATTTAGATATAAATTGTTTTTTACAAGATCAAAGACCTGCACGTTTTTTTCATGTTCCATCTTGCGAAGGCATAAATATCTGTTATATTTTGTCCTAAACATGGAAAAACAGAATCTGCTGTAAAGTGTGCCATGGATGTGACTATCCTTGTGTTTTGTTAGTGTCCTCACTGGGACTGATTTTGATCTAGAATTACTATCCTGTATTTCCCTTTTTCTTTTTTTTAAAAAAGATGTATTTTAAGGTGTCTCTCTATATGCACACAGTGACATCCAAGGACTTTCAGACAGACTTTTCAAACTTGCAGCTCTTGGTTCTCCTGTTCAATAGCACCCTTAACAGCACCTTGACATGCTTGTTGTCATTGCTGCTCTGACCTCAGTAATGAAGATCACTGACTCAAGCTGACTTTAATCCCTTCTCTGGCTGATTGCATCCCTCTCAGTTTGAAGAGATCCACCTCCTCTAGGTTTGATTTTGACAGAATTGCTTCCAGTTCCCATACTTAGAAGCAGATATCTTACAGTGATATCTTACAGTTGTACAATTGATAACAAAGATGAGGAGAGAGGAAGAAAATATGAAGACAGAAGGGGAGGAGGCAGACAGTGCAGCAGACAATGCGGGCTATTACCTAGCTTAATCAAACAGCTGCTTTTGGTAGCTAGGAGGTTACAGCAGATGTTTTACAAAGGCAGAATGTGTGTTTCAGTGTACAATTATATGCTTACAATGTAGTGATATGGATAATTATCACCATTTCAAAAATAAAAATCCTTCTTTATTATTTTTCTTTTTATTTTGTTTTACAGCTATTTTGTGGTCATGAAGTACTGTCCTGCACCAGATCCTGATGCACTTACTGACTGTGAACATGACTGCAGACCCAGGACAGCCAAGTGCTAGCCCATACAACTGAGGTTGTCATGATCTGGCCCCATCGTCTCTTTCAGTGAGTGGCAATCTCTCCTCTGATCCATGTGGACATTTTGTGAAGTCCTTAATTTCAAGCCTTGCAGCTTGCACATGTGTGCCTGTCAGCCACCAGGGACTAGTAAGATTCCAGTGAGAACTGGCACTTTTGATTTTCCTTGCCTTGCACTGGGAGATATATGAGAGTTTGTTTATGTGAGATTTGGGAGAACAAAGGCAAATTAAATCCCACCCTTCCAATAAGATATATATTTTTTCAACCTTGAAGTAAATTTTCTATGTCTGTGTGTTTTGGCTTTTAAACTCAATAGCCTGCAGGCATTCACCACGTCAGCGAAGAAATGGAAAGCTCATTATTACACTATTAGAAGGTTTAAGACTGAAAACCAGAGTCTATAACAACAGCGAATAGGATATCAAAGACATGTCCCTCTGCTTGATCCTTCCATGGAACTAGAGCTGGACCGATGCTGTGAAGGGTGTTTTGTTGTGCCTGCACACTCCCCAACCATTTCAGAATGTTGAGGTGTAATGGCTTCTTTTATTATTTAAATAATACTGTTTCATATTCTTATTTGGCCAGATCAGAAGAATCAAATCAGATAATAGCATGAGTTCTGGAGGCAAAGGAGTGCTATGAACGAGAATTCACTCCCTTTGCATTATTCATCTGAGCACTGCATCTGTGACACCAGTATGCCATGAGTTTCACAGGGCAGCTACCTCAGCACTATAACTGCCACACAGATCTCTCTATGCATTTTACTGGAAAAAAAAAAAAAAAGGCAAAAAAAAGGCATTGTAAATTTTGTCAGTTGGAGGTCATTTAGGCTATTGTGTGTATATGGCACTTGGATAAAAGGTTGCCTTCTTCTGCCCTGGGCTTCCTATTCTGATTCTCATTGGTCCCTTTGGACCATTATCCTGCTGATCTCCATCATATTTTTTCCACTAAATCCCCACCTGTGACGCTTGCACTACTTGAACTTTTTCCCTACAGGCAGTATTTTCTGAACACTCTTATTTTATTTTTTGTGACTTTTGGGGACATTTCCCATTTCCAGCATATCTTTCAGGACAGTGCACTGAGCTGACTTGATGCAGAGCGATACAAATCCCACACGCTTGTACAGGACATGTTTCCACTCCTATGCCCCACTGTTTTAATCCTGCAGGATCCTTCCCCATGCTGAGGCAAGGGAAGGACCCTGCTGTGTGCAACTTCATTTTGCACCCATGTGAGCATTGTGCTTGCTCTGAGGTATGCAGGTTGCAGTCAGATGGGGACTGCTATTTTGGGGTAGGTATCGCCACCAAAAGCAAAATGAATCTGTCACAAAACCACTTCTACATCAGCAGCAATTTTAAGCCTTCATCTGCACATCTTTCCTAGGAATGAAGTTTCCTATATTCTGCACTGTTCATTCCCTAAGGGGAAAAATATCTGCTTGGAGCAGGTCCACAGGGGATTCAAAAATTTCCCTGAGGAATGCATCCCTGAGCCAAAAGCATCAGGTGCAGCTGATCACAGTCAGCCTGGGGCTGCTGAGGAGCTGGGAAGGTTGATGTGGGTTTTGGGCTAGAAGCTATAAGCAGGCAGTCTGGAGGCTGATAGTGCTGTCCAACCTGTACTCTTTTCTTGGATATGTGATTTTTGCCAAGGCTTGCAGAGGGTGCTCAGGGGGCTGTGCTGGTTAAGTGGAAACCACAGGTAACAAATCTCAGTTGCAGAAGGGAAGTGTATTGTTGAGTGGGGCCTGGATGTATGGGAACCTCCAACATTTTATAGCATTTCTGTCTGCTTCAGATGAATATACTGATACTGACCTTTAAAAGGCGAAAGAGAGCCAAGCTGGCTGGCTTTGCTTGCAGAGTTCTGCTGTTGCGTCTTGGTAGTCACAAGTGCAAAACACAATTGGTGCTTAGGACCAGTGATAAAACCCAAGGGAATGGCACGAAGCAAGCTGTGATGAGGGGACTGAGATTGGATATCAGGAAAAGGTTCTTCACTAGAGGGAGGTGGACATGGCACAGGTACCCCAGGCCAAGGGGCACAGCTCTGGGCTGCCAGAGTTCACGAAGTGTATGGATAATGCTCTCAGACAGAGGGTTTGGGTGGTTCTGTGTGGAGCCATAGGTTGGACTCAATGATCTTCAGGAGTCCCTTCCAACTTGGGTCATTTTATGATTCTTTGAACTTTGATTTTTGAGACATGGCAGTCGCATATAAAAATTCTTTGGTCCTGGTGAGAGAGGCTGTGATTCAGGGTGTTATCTCCCCACAGTTTGTTTCTAATGCTGTGATGTTTATTAGGAATTTCCAGGTGCCCTCTTGAGGCTTCCAATTGAGTTCTACTGGGTCCCATGACACTAACTGGTGTCTGAGCTTACACAGAAAACACAATGCTGGAATTTTAAGAATGAGACTTGCTGATACCAAATAGTACAGAGACTTTACATCATCTGTTAATGCCAGAAATTAATTTGATTTTCATTTCCACACTGGAAGACGGTTATATCTAAACCTTCAGCCCAGCCTACCCTTGATGAGCAAGCCCTGGTTCACACAGAGCCAAAGTGGGAAGATGATCATTTCCACTCTCTGTAGGCTTGGGTTGTCTGTAATGAGACCTGATGAGGCACAAGAACAACATCATTTCATCTGTGTCTGAGTGCTTCGGCACAGACACAACACTGAATTGATGACAAAAGTGTGTGGCAGCAGTTACTGCCATGAGGGTTGTTTTGGGAGAAAACACAAAAAAAATCATTTAACTCCCTTCCTCACTGCTGTAAGTTAATCGGAACATGCTTTATTCCCAACACAATTATAAATTTAAAAATGAGTACAGCTGAAAAGAGGGACTGGATGGTGCACAGCACAGGCTGGAGCGGAGTTAACAAAAAGCTGCCTTTTAAATCTTATGCCTACATTCTGTTTCTCTCTGGAACAAAATACGATACTTCCAGCCTACAATATGAAGTGAGTCATAATATTGCCATTCTGCTCCCAGCATAATTGAGCATACCTATGGTATGAAGTGGGAGAAATATTTGGCCAAGAAGAAAGCTCCAGAATTTTATGTACTGTCAAGACGTGCTTAATAAATAGAGAGTATTATTTTCATATTGCGTAATTCAGACTTTCCTCATTCTGGGGTTGTTTCAGCAAAACATGCAAGTGTGTGCTTATCTTTAATTAGTGTTTAAGCCAAGATGGCTGTTAGCATACTTATGGGAAGGGACTTTTCAAAGGGCTGGGCTTCTATACATGCATGGAGGCAATCATGTGCTTGCACCTGCATCGGGGCTAAAGGAACTCTTGCAGGTAGATGTGGAGGGTGGGTGTTAGTGGCAAAAAGCACATATATTTGCCATGATATGTGGTCATTTATCCTGTGCTGCTGCTGTTTTCATAAGGACAGACTTCAGCGTCTCTGCTATCACCCATGTGAGCATGGACTCAGCTGGAAAAGCTTTAGGGCAGGGTATGAAGCCCTCATCCTGACAATGACAATGAGCACATTGCCTTCAGCAGGCCAGATTTCATTCCCTGCATGTGAAGAGACTCTGAGACAGAGAGGAGTAATCATGTTGTATGTGGCTGGTTGTGAAATATTTTGGCAAAGGAAACAGGGCTTGATCTTGAACTCTTCCAGGTGAAAAATACAGTCAGGAGTGATGTGAACACAAAAAGGCAAGTGAGGCAGCTTGTGGGTGAAGCTTTGGTCTATGACACCAATGATTTGGCCTCGATTCCTGCCCTCAGCTGTGTGACTTTCCTCATGCCAGTGTTTCCCTTCAAATTAAATGGGAGCATTGAAAAAAATTTGCTTTTAAATGAAGCTGGATGAACTCTCATATATCACTGTGGTCATACAAGAGACAATCCATGGGTTGAACTTAATGTTTATTTAGTATAGCTCACTCCTCTATATTAACTGCAGTTATTATTATTAACTGCTGTGATGCCTGCTGTCCACAGGGCTTTCATGATCAAGAATATATGAAATAACAGTTGTTCATTTTATTTTTAAGCATTCAATAGCGTGCAGTGAGTTGTTTAACATTAGGCAGTGTGTGCGTTATGATGCTGTGCTCTCATATGAAGTGTGTTTTTTGACCAAACAGCCCAAAAATCTCTCTTGCCCTTTGTGATGAGAGCTCACAGAATCAGAGCACCAATGAACATTTGAACCCTCCAGAGTGTGAAGTAATAATGGCCAGCTGGTGTCAGTGAGCAAATGGATAAGATATGAGGATTAAATCTGATTTATACCACGCCACTGAGAACCTCTAAAAGACTGGTTTGGATTGGTTTTCAGAGGATTTCAGAACAATCTCTGCCCTTTCTAAAAAGCAACATTCCTCTGTTCTTTTTTCTAAAAAGCAGGATCTTTGGACTTCCAGTTTAAGAATAAATTCTGGAAAACAGATGGATCTACTGCTGCTGAGATCCTCTGGTCGAATTAAGAAGAGAAAACCAATAGGACATATATGCCTATATATAACTTGAAATTCCTTTCCTCCTGTTAAAACGATAAATTGTTATTGCTGTGCTCATGGGCAGCCTGCATGCTCCGAGCAGACTCGTTGTTGAACAGAGAGATTGGTAAAGTCAGATGTTTCCCAGGAAATGATGGTCAGTGATGGACTGGTACTCAGGAAGCCAACGATAATGTGATCTGGGTATGGAAAAAACGTTTGTCTTCTTGCAAACATAGGAAAACAGTGAAGACAAATTATTTTTTATAATTTTCAGTGAAGAAAAATTAATAATCATAATTAATTATGATTGTTATCATAAGCTTATGATTCCCTTTGTAATTCTTTAACAAATTAGAACAATAATTTGAAGAATATCAGAGGAGTATCCTTTGGAGCAGCTCACATCAGCCAGTGTTCCTTCTAACAAATTGGCTTTCCTCCACAATAATGTTTCTTCAGAGTTTTTTTCCAGCCCTGTTCCTTTGGATGTATTGATTTCCCATAGGCTTGCATCTTCCTACAGTAAGATTTTTTTTGTGTTTGAAGTTGGCTACATGTCTGGGAAATACACACCCTTATGTTCCAAGAGGGCAGAAGGAGGTATTTCTAGAAATAGCAAAATGACAAACAAATAGTGAGAAATTTTGGTCTTGGCCACCTTACTATAAACTCAGCCCATAGGTCTTTTTTCAGAACTGAGGTTTCCCATCTGTCAATGGGTGGATATAAACTCCAGCGGATGTTGAAGAGACATCTGGAGTGTATCCATTGCACTTCCAGTGTCAGTGAGCATCACCCAGTTACCATATATTTTTTGCTGACCTAGGGGAATTTGTGGTCTTCCCTCCAAATGGGTAATGGCAAAAATTCTGATGTGTCTAACATCCTCTTCTGTGGCTATTAGGAGTCTCTGATACTGAGACCCCTGCTTAGTGCTGGTCCTCCCACAGCCAAGCTTAATGAGTGTCTTTTATAAGCTAATGGTTTGGGTGCTGAGGGATGAGCTCTCTGCTGTGCTGCAGAGGAGACCCTGATGTCAGTGACGGTGCCATTAGCAATGGGGGAACCAGAAAACTTCAGCTTTCAACGAAGCTGAATAAGTGGATTTGAACCACACTGGAACAAAAATGAGGACAGGAGATTTTCCAAGGAACCCAATGTGCTTCTTTTCAAAACTTAGCAACAGGATTTGAATGGGCTCTCAAGTTCTACATGGTGCCTTCAAAAACTCCAGCATAAGTTTTAAGGAAGAGAAAGAGAAGATTTTCCATCCTCCCACATTCCAAAGCACCCAAACAAGGAGGAAAGTCTTCCAGGCAGTCACATTTTTTCTACACCAGAAATGACTCCATTGTACAAAGCGAATGCCAAGGCCCAGGTTTGTTCTGGTCTTTGCACGTATTTTTCAAATCAGTGTTTATTTTGCCTGATCTGCCCTGACTTTCTGGTTCCTGTTTCTGTTGTCTCCCATTGTTGTTGGTGAACTTTGGCCCTTACCGGGATTATGGTGGAGTTGCCTTTGTTTGAGGAGGTACATGGGAGATTTTTCAATGCTGTTGTGCTGTGAGAAAAGGAGGGGCAGCACTTTTGGCTTTTCCATCCCATTCAACCCCTCTTATCTCCTCCTGCCTCTCCTCTGGCCTGTATTTCATCAGCAGCCATCCTGGCACTTGTGGTTGCCCCTTGCCCACTCTCCTATATTGAGGTGTGGAGCTGCCATGACCCTGCCCCATGCCAAATGCCATGTGTGTTCCCCTGCTGACCAATCTCCTTCTCTTCTGTACCCACTATTAAAATAGATGGAGGAAAATTAAGCTCATTTGCTACCACCTATAATTAGCAGGGGTTACATCTCTGAGATGGTGAATGGCTTTAGGACTGTTGCCTTTGTTTAGCAGTGTGCATCAGTGCAAATGATATGGAGGAAAATTCCATAAAGCAGAAACTACAGACACTCTTTAACTGCTTCTGTAAATTAATATAACAAAGCGAGCCAAGAAAAAAGTTCCCAATTGTGACTTCTTTGTAATCTGATAAGTCTTTGACAAAAATGCATTTGGCCATTATTATTATATGAACATTTCCTTGCATCTCCTGCAAATATATAAGGTGAAAATAGATAGTTGTTCTTGAGAAAATATCTATTGTGTGTCATGAATCCCTTCATTCTTATTTCCTTGAAGCTTAGGAGTTTGCACAGAAATGCATTAAGGAAATTGTCTACTTCTTTCATTTATTTTATTGATCTAATTACTGGCCTTATGTTATATGCAATACATTCATTCACTTCAAAGGTTTCCTGACTTAGATGTGCTTGTACCCAGCTCTGTGAGTCTTCCAAAACCAGATGAAGCCAGCACTTTGTGTGAGTATATCTAATCTTAAAAAGGATTTCTTCAGGATCTATTATTTCCTCTCTATTCAGTATCAAAATATGTTTAGCACAATTTCATCATACTGAATATCATCAGACAAAAAAAAAAAAAAAAAGCTACATATGATGGCAATAGACATAAATATTTACAACTAGTAAAAACTCTGTCTAATTTTAGGTACCCACACCCACCACACTCACAGGGGAATGAAGCCAGCCTCTTTCAGATATGCTTTCAGCTCTCTTAAGGAAACAAATTCATTTGGACTCTTGGTAATGCCCTCTCATTGCTTCTAATGGCTCTATTTCTATTCTTACCTAGCAGTTGGAACATGTAAATAAGGGCTATCCATATAGGTAAGCTAACTTGTAAGCTTCGGCTAACTTGTTTCTTCTGGAAATCAAACTTAATGTGGTCTTATTAGTTACAGCATGGATTTACTAGACAGTGATGTGATAACAAAAGTCATCAAAGGAGAGAAGAAAAGAACCAAACATCTCTATAAGTAGCATGTCCCAAAGGAGAGAAGAAAAAATCCAAACAACAAGTAGCATGTCCCAGAAAGATTAAAGACACAATGATAGATACTTAATTCTGTTTTCTCTTTTCCAAAGCACTTGACTTGTACTGTCATTCTGTTTGCCAGGGCTTGCAAGGATTGCCAACCTCTTCCTGCAACCACTGCATCTCTTCATATTGAGGAAGTGTAAAACCACACCTGAGCTTGTACTGTTTGAGGCATTTTCCTTGGAATGTTTTTCTTCGTTATGCAGACTTTTCATTTAGAGGAAGTGGGAGGAAATCTGCCTTTAAAAAATAATGGCTACAATACAATTACTGTAAAATGAATAATAAAAGTAACCAACTAGTACTGGCCAGGGGGATGATAATTCAACTTTGCGACAACTTCTGAGGTTTTACAATTTGTTTTCATTTTACAATGGAATGAAAACAAGACCTTCACATATTATGTATTCAATTTAGGTCTTTCTTGCTGCATTGTCAGGAATAACCAGGGTGCCCTGGACCTCAAGAATTTGTCCTTCCAAGTATTTAAAAAATGCTTCAACACTGATGAATCAGCATATTCTCCTGGTGGGATAGTTCATTGTAAATGCTTTGGCCCGAACTTTGCTAACCCTAGAAGTTCAAAATGATGTCTTATGCCCTAAAACATATTACTTACAAATAACTTCTTTTGTTTTTTATGCATTATTTCCAGACTGTCTTCTCTAAACCTTTTCCCTTCATCCTCTATGGATGTACATCCATTTTCCACACTTATCCAGTTCTTTTCTCCTATTTTCTTCAGCTTTTCTTGTTTCTCATGCAGCTTCAGCACTTTTGACCTTCCGTAGCTTATGCTCAAGAAGCAGTGCTAAGATGATGTTTCACGGTATGCTGTAGCAGAGGTTGGCTAGGAAAGAGGTGGCTGCTGGATGGACTCTACAACAGATAGTGGTCACTGCACGGCAGTCCCACAACCATCCTGCAAATCCCTGTCTGTCTGCTCTTTGGTTTTAATTCTTCTCAGATGGCATTTTCCATCAGGCAGAGCTGACATCCGTGAGAAGGCAGAAACATCTGCTCCCATGCCCTGGCCGGCTGCCGCCCTCACCAGCTCAGCAGCACTTTAGGAAACCAGAAGAGCCACACGGTAATAATTATCACTAAGTGCTTGTGGGGCAGCTGCTATGCATGCAATGCCTGTGGTTTGGGTTTGGACCCAGCTGGCTCATAGATGGCTCTGCAGGACCTACACCTAGTGCTGGCCAGCCCCATGCTCTGTGCTGCACACTTTGGAAAATGAAATTGTCTTTCTTTTTTCTAATGCTTCAGGTGGGAAGACCCTATTCTTCGAGGAGAAAACAAGCAGTGTGGAAAATAGGGAGGAAATGCATCAATGCATTTTGAAAGATGGAAACAACAGCAGAAAGGAGAGCAAGAGGTGGAGTGACTTAACATCGCGCAAAGTACAAGGTGCTTCTGTAGATGTCTTTGTACGAATTGTTTCATGACCTATCATGAATCACCCAGGGACAAGATTCCCTTGTGTTCTCAGGAATTTCCACCCTACTGGGTGTAGTCTCAAAACACCATTTTCCTTGCAAAATTGTCTCACTCATTTTTCAGTCTTTTCTATTCATACATTTAAATAGGAAGCAGGGGGAAAGAAACTCAGTTGGGAGCAACATGTGGAGACAACACAAGTTATTCCTGTTTCACCATTTTCTTGGCATTGATTTCCTCTGTCAAACAATACTTCAAATTTGGGACTTCTGTGTTCGTACTCCCCGTTGCTTCTTACTTCCTTGGAAGCATCAGGAAGGACTTATGGTATTGCTACAGCAGCTCTTACAGGAAAAGAAATGAATTGAGAAACACACTTCAAATAATGGAAGAATGAATTATTTCACCATTTTAGCCATTTCCCAGGAGGGAGAGTAGAGGGAGAAAATGCATTTAACACTCTAAAATATTAAAATAACAGGAACCACATCAACTTCACCCCTCTGGACTTCAACCAAACTGACTGATTTAGGTAAATTCCCGGTAGATCCAAGTGGCAAACTCCATCAGAGAATATTTCTAAGCATGGCAAGGGAATTTCTCTATACTAATGATATTATGAACTGAATCAGCTAATTTGGAGTTCTTTGGACTTAGGCCTGGTTTCTGGCAGAGGAGCAGAATATTTTTGAAATATGAACTCCCCCTTCAGTATAGAGACCGATCCTGTTTTCGTGGACAGTATTCATGGAAAATCACTTTCTTGAAGCTGTATTTGAAATGTATTTTTTAATGAGAGATATTATTCCCTTGAACTTCTGGAATAGGCTTTAAATATTCACAGCAGTAACTAACAGGCAATGAGACGAAGGGGACTGTACTTGATTTCTGAGATTTACTGGTTACATATACAGAACAAAGCAAAGCAGCACACTTTCTAAATATTTAAATACAGCATACAAATACCATCCTGATTTTGTTCATGTTCTCACTGAAAATTTTAATGGCAGTTTTGCAGAAAGCAAAATACAGGCTACACTGAAAAGAAATTACAAGCAATTCTATAGCATCCTTTGTGTTTTGACATAGCAGTGAAGGTGTTTGGTAGTTCTAGCTAACTAAAAAGATGCAATTACAAAATACCTGTTTGTGTAGGTGCAAGATCTTGAACCCTCATTGAAGTCGGTGTGCTCAAATGGAGCCATCTGGGAAGTGGGATCATGCAACCCAACCTGTCAATATCAGCATTACTGTTTGATTTGAGTGGAAAACGTGGAGCCAAGTAGGTTGCCCAGGGAGGTGGTAGAGACTCCGTCCCTGAAGTTTTTCAAGAAACATGTAGATGTCACCTTGACTGTCATGGTTTAGTAGTATGGTTGTGATGTGTTAATGGCTGGACTAGATGATCATAGTGGTCTTTCCAACCTTAATGATCCTATGATTCTAAGCCAGAGGGCTTCACTTACTTCTACAAGCCATTTCTTGAGCAAAAAAATAGTCTCAGGAAGTGTATCTTAATAGAGAGATTTTGTTCCACAGCTGAATTTCCCCAGTGGAAATGCCTCACCTTTTAAATGAAAAATCAGGTCTTTGTGTTTCTGCTGCTTGTTGCCACTGTAGTTCTGCTTATAAGAAGCATCTCAAGTAACTGGCCCCAAAAGTCAGGAAAGGACCTCAACTCTGTGCCTAATTATTGGAGAAAAGCACCCTGAGGTAAACCAGCCTGTCCTGAAACAGAACTGGGGAGACTGCTCAGAAACAGAAAACGTCTGAGTTGGGAAGGGTTTAGCCTTTGAGGACAGAGCTGCTCAGAACAGCTGGATGGCTGCCCGCTCTGGAACTGGAGCATGGGACAGTTTATAAACTTAAAGCAAATTTTCCAACCTTATGGGATTTTCCTTATGGTCTGTTCTCAGTGGAGCAGCATTATTATTGTAAATAGATGCTCTTTTTGTCCCATCTCCCAAGGGAGAAAAAATAATGTTATGTTTGAAAATGTATGTTTTTCCCACTCAGTACTGAAGCAGTTCCTTTCCATAAAGTCTGCAGAAACTGAGCTTTAGCAGATACTGTTAATATCGTTACTTCAAAGTTCTGTCTAAATGCCTTTGCCAAGGAGTCTTTAATAAAAGACGTGGCCTCTGTCCTCTTAGAATTGCAGGGGTTGGAAACTCATTCTTGTGAGTCATCTCGGGCGTCCTCCTGCAATGTGACAGGGCCTTTCTGTCCAGCCCCTCTGCTTTTAACTCTTTCAGATGCCTAACTGCTGGCTCCTGTCTCATCACGGGGATTGCTGTTTCTATCATAGACTTGTACACTGTCCCAAGCCAGGAGCAAGGATGCAGCACTGTGGTGCTCTTCCCCGTCCTGCTCCCAAACCACCCCTGTCCTGACTGTGCCTCCTGTGCCACTCTATGGGAATATTTTTACAGCTGCCTCCCTCTCTCCTTTGGGAGTTTTCTTTTTTTTCCTCTTTTTTTTTTTTTTCCCCTAGTGCTTCTCCTGTCAGTGAATGAGTTTTCCAGGCTTCTCTTCCCTTGAGACTGGTCAGCACTTTAAATATTTATGGAATCATTGCTGTGCCACTAACTGAGGTAGAAAGGTAACCCTGGGGCAATCACATTGCTGAATTTTTGGTGCACTGGACTCACAGTAAGTTTGAGAAATTGCGCCAACTGTAACGTGGTCCCTCATGGTTCTCATGTCTTCTTTCCTGGGATAAGCACTTTGTGGCTGTAGGGTTAGCTGAAGGCACCACTTGGTGCCACATCCGCTGCAGAGTGCAGATGGTCCTGTCTCATATGGTGACTCTCTTTGCCCTTGGTGAAATCTGTTTAAGAGGAGGTTATTGCTCGTGGTCACAAACTTACGAGTATGTGTTCTACAGAGCAAGTATTCAGGAAAAGCCATCACTGCATAATGAGATCTGCATCCTTCTCAGCCAAATGTGATAGCAGCCACAGAGCTGGACAGTATTATCAGATCCTCCTTCATGCTATGCTCACCTGGCTGTGTCTCTGAGACTGTAGAGACATGATGGATAGTGCTTGGGATTGCAATGAAGTGCAGTGATTCACTCAGTATTGGGAGAGGTTTCCAGTCCACCTGGGTACATGGGAAAGTCACTGGCTGATTAATAGTGCATGAGCATTTTAGCATATGTAGAATTTGCACGTAAAGTTGTATTCAGCCAAGGCTGCTGGTAGCATGGCTTGTCTTGGGTGAAAGGCCTCTGAGTGTGAATAACAAATAACTGTGCACTAAATTCACTTTTTAAAAATTGAATATTTTAACTATTAGAAATTATTTTAAACCCTATTTTTCCAGAACTTATTTTGGGAAAAAGGCAAAGTGAATGGCCCTAAAAAGATACAGTCTGGAGCTCATCCTCATCTCAGTGACAAATTGTGAAGTCACGATTTATAAATCTTTAATTCCTCAGTATCTTATTCAGTAACTGGAAGACCCATATGTTGGCATACAAGAATTCTGATGTCTGTCCTGAGGATGGTGAGTTATCACTCTAAAAAGCAGACTAGAAATATAATAACTTGGATTTTTTCATTGCAAAGATAAATAATAATTTGACGGGAGATGTCATTATTGTTTAATGGCTTTGTCTGAACAGAACAATTGAAGGAAATATGTTTGCTCTTCCTCATCCCTTGCCATTTCCATGATGTCATTGGGCTTGGCCCTAGCAACTGGAAAGTTAGAACAGAGGAAAGGACTACCTGCAGAGCAAAATGTACACAACAATGTATGGTAGCAATGACGAGCATCGCTGGCACTAAGATCTATCTCAAGGTTTATGAAGAGAAGAGAAAATAAGATGGAAACTAAAGGCATTTTGAGTTGGCTTAATCAGTAGGTAAACCATTTTAACTGTGACTCATTTACTAAAACACTGCCATGTCCTGCAGAAATGAAGAGGTTTGTACTTGTCTAGGAATTTTGATTGTGTAGACATTCTTACTACGTTTTTGGTGGGTTTTTTCCCCTTCATGTGGAGTATCTGCTGTTGAAAGCATGTGCTTGGCTGTCCATGGGTGCCTGCTATGGCACCACCTTTATGTGGTTTTGACCCCTGGGGAACATAGTTGACCACATGTACTGAATAAACTATTGCTTTCAACATAGTGGCAATGATGTTTAGTTCAAGCTGCAGAGATCTCCTTCAAGAGCCAGAGGTCAGTTTCAGTTCTGTTTTCCTCAGCTAATGTCACCTCCTGCAATATTACGCCCATAGGAAGACTGTTTTGGAGAAGAGGCTCACTTTTTCATCACTTCTACTGTTTACCCTTTTTCTGCCTCAGCCACCTCAGAACACATTTTGGTCTCGTCCTGACCACTAAGAGAGGCTCTTTTGTCAGCTCACTTTTATTACTGCTTGCAGAAGGCTTATTTTTCAATTATGGTAGCACTTGGTCTCCTCACATCAGGTTCAACCTCCCATTTTGCAAATCTTATTCAAATTTTCCTCCAGTAACTTTCATATGTTGATAAATTCCTGGGATTAATCACACTCCATACATTTTTTTTTTTACATCATTTGACTTTCTCATCTTTCAAATGCATTTCCAGTTGTGGTTGCCCCCTAGCAATGCATTCATTCTACACCTGGACCATCAGGACACACTCAAAGGGTCTAACATACCACCTGGGATTCTTTGTGTTTCCTATTGCCCTTGGAATACCACAGATCTAATATGAAATGTTAGCTGAATGGGGAAGATGAAATTTGAGCTGTATTTCCATTGTAGTTTGCTTATTCTCTATGTCTAGCTTTCAGGCTGTAAACATTGTGCATGATGCAGCGTTGTCCCCTGCTGTGCTTAACCCATGAGGATATGCATTGACTGCTCATTTAAGGTGAGGAACTGAGGGGCTGTAGCAGCTTCTGGGCTTGGAGTTCAGTCCTGGGTGATAAACACAATGCATGCTGGTATGGGAGGGATTGGCATACAGCTTTTTGATGTCTCTTTGCAGCATAAGGTTTTTGCAAGCATGAAATCAAAATTATAATAGCAACAGTACAAGAGGAAGTTGAATGACAGCCAGAAGGAAAGGTAAAAAGCAACTCAGGTGCTGCGTGCTCCTTCTGAGCTGTGTTTCAGTAGTGCTTGGGGACAATGGAAACTTTGTCACTGCTGCAGAAACAATCTACCCTCAGTAAATAAGACCATGGAGCATGCACACACCTCTGTGTCCATGGGCTTCAAGTGGGACTGTGCAAGCACAGGACAATACAGGGATGTGTGTGAGGAAGAGGGATATAAGCGTTAGTAATTTAGGCTCTTCACATCCTTCAGAAGGAAAAGGTCTTGAGATGGGTTGGTGTTTGGACTAGATGATCTTAAAGATCTTTTTCAACCTTAATGATTCTATGATTTCCAACCGCTATGACTCTATGATTCTATTCCTGAGTGTGTATATGGTGCCTGCTTCTTTTGAGTGTGGGATGGTTCAGGTAAAAGGCTCCTCTTTGGTATACAAAGACTATCTAGACTTCCTAGCTGTGAAAAAAACTGATGATTATTGAACCTCCTCTAGCTTGTGTGGTACAGGACTTAAACCTTCTGTGGAAAGGTTAAGAATTAGTGGTTCTGTGAAACTTATCTTTCCAAAAAGGCAGCCACAAAAATCTTTGAATTGCACTGGTGGCTTTCTGTTGAGTTGAACCTTGAACGTGTTATTGAGACCTTTGGTTTATTCTGGATAACAGAGAAGATTGGCAGAAAAATCCTTTCAGCTGCTGTGAGGCAAAATGAACAAATCTGTTCTGTGGCTGTGAGTCAAGAGACCTAAATCTTAAAAGAGTCAGCGCTTTCCTGTCTCAAGGTTAATGTTCAAATCTGTTTGATCAAAACTGGATGAACATTAAAAGGAAAAAAAAACCCTGCAAACATCCCTGGAAATAAACATCACAGCTCTCCCTTAGTGCTATTTATAGCTCCTTCAGTTTAATGACCCCAAGCAACACATGAAACATCTAATGTGCTACCAAAACTGTTTATAGGAGACAACCGTCTCAAGAACGTGGTAGTGTGAAGACTCCCACAGCAGCACTGTGCAGAAATTGCAAAGCTCCTGGGATAGCCTCTTCCTGTCTTAATTATGCTGTCTAATAAAGTTTTGACAGAGGAAAAAAGAAGTAGTATGATATTTAGGTCATTACTGACACATCATGCCAAACAAACTGGTTGAAATCAGTGTGCCCATGCAAAAGATCAGTAATCACTTAAAAATGACAGGCATGTCAAGTGTGGACAGATGAGCTGCTGTTCCTGCAGCTGGAGGAGTTTCATAGAGACATAGAACCATTAAGCTGGAAAAGAATGCTGAGATGGTCTAATCCAACACAACCCTTCCCACCATGCCTACTGACCATGTCCCTCAGTGCCACATCTCCGTGGTTCTTGAGCACCTCCAGGGATGGTGACTCCACCACCACTCTGAGAAGCCTTTGACAGTTTCTCATCACTCCTTCTGGGAATAAGTTTGTCCTAATATCTGACCTGGGGTATTCAGTCTCTGTGATATCTGTCCAGTCTCAGTGGGTGGTTCGTCTCCCATGGAGGTGAAGCTGCTCAGTGAGCACTCCAGCCCACTTCACTGCTCAATCAACCACATTGGCTTGAATCATCACTAAAGAACAAAGCATCTGTCTCCTAATGGTAATTAATAATTGTTTTCTTCTATATTGCTTTCAATTTACAGAGCTTCTGTCATGGTTGAACTATTCTGTATGTTATTCATTAGCTGATCATATGTCACTGCTAATTTTTTTCAAATGGATTCACTATTTATAAACGTTCTGCAGTTTGTGCAGACACATGAGGAGAAGGAGGGAATTCTTTATGCCGTACACATTGTTTTCAGTCTAGGTGTTTGCAGCTCTCCCTTGGACAGACTGACCTCTCTCTTGTTCACCAAGGATACACCATCAGTTACTAAAGCTATTTGCATGGCATCCATTTGTGTACAGTCCCTAAACCAAATGGTTTGAGACTCACCACCTCTTCTCCTTAGACAACCATCTAATGAGTCCATTCACTTCTGGCTGTACAGTGGGTTGAGTTAGTCATACGAATAGGTACTGCTCCCTAGTTGATGGAGACTTTTCATGTAGGAAAAAAATAAATGAACTTTTGAGTACAAATTTTGGGGCGAATAAATTTCATGCTAAAAATTATTGGCTGTTGTAGAGTTCAGAAATGTCAAACAAGATGTTCAGCGGCTGCCTGGCTTAAAAAAACAAGACACATCTCCCTTCTGCCTTTCACAGAGCAGTTGCATTACTTTTGGTACTATTAAACCAGCTTGGCTAGTAGTTGAATTGAATTTTTGTTGGTACAACCTCAGCCCCAATTAAACATTTATAACTTCTCATAGTTAGATGTGATACAAGTCACCCTGGCTGAGACCTCTGCTTACAGAAAATCAACATTTGATGTTGGAAAGACAGAATGGAAGCGCCATATTAAAGCATGTCCTCACTATCCAAACAAACCCTATTGTTACAGATGCGGCCAGTAATATCCTGTTTGTCACTGGGGTTACACTTTGGTTCTCCTGCCCTAGAAATAACCACTCTGTGGCAGAACCCTTTCAGTACGGGACTTGGGTTTTCACCAAAGGTAAGGAAACCTCAGTGTTCTGGCATCCAGCTAAGCGTCTTCAGAATGTCTTGAGAAGTAAACAGACTCGTAAACTTCCCTATGTTCAACAGAAGAGCCCAGTTTTGTATCCAAATAACAATTTTGCCTTCCCCATCTGTCTGGCATTACCTCAGACTCTGCTCTGTATCCATCTCATCCCAGCCCTGGCAACAGGCCTCGAACAAATTCATTTTTGTGGACTGTGGGTGAAATCTGTGGCCGAATATTATTAGTGTGGAGCTAATAACTGGTTTGGACTTCTGTACAGAGCAGCTGCACAGCAAAACACCAGTAGGCTCTCATCCCAGGCATTGCCACGTTCAAGCTGCGTGCATCCTCAAGGACACCCCGTTGTTACACTTATCTGCACCATAAAAACCTACCCCAGGCCTACAGCTATAAGGATGCAGTGGAACTTGGCAAATAGATGCAGTTGGTGCTGCGGGGCCATGAACAGTTAACGCCTTGGCCACGACCACGGTGCATCTGGAGCTTTTCCCAATTCTGGGCTGGATAGCATCGCTGTCTCCCCCCAGCTGCCAGAGTTGCGGCAGTGAGAAACTGCTCTGAGATCACAATTGGAATCCTCAATTTTTAATGCTTCCCCCCACCACTATTTTTTTCCATTAGAGAGGAGGAAATTGGTAAATGCCCTGGGACTCACAACCAAGCTGTGACCTGGAGAGGCAAATGGAAGTACTTGCTGCTGGTAATAATGGGCTGGGTGAAAAAACTTCATTGGGAAGCACAACTCTGCAGAAACCTGCAGCAGTTAATTGCTTTTGAGCAGATTCAGCACAGGCCATCTGAAACAAATAGTTTCAGCTGTAACAAATGGTTTCAGCTCATTTGGGGGTAAAATGATTGGGTTTTGACAGGGGCAGATAAAGTAGTGTGGTAGGGTAAATTTAAAGGGGATTTTCCAGCATCTCAGTTATTCTCCAGGATAAGTCAATGTCCAAAACCTTTCTGTGCACCATGGTGATATCACTACATCCCTATCACCTCTGTGCCACCTCTCCTTATGACCATGGGCTGCAAAGTGCTTTGCAGTGGAAAGGTCCATAGCCACAAAGGATTCCAACAACTGTGAGCTCAGGTAATTTTGCCCCAGGTGAGTACTTCCCCCTCTCAATGCCTACAGTATATTAAAGTATTTTAATAGGTTATATTATATCTTATGCCACATAATGTCTTTTATACGTTCATTAAGGTTGGAAAGATAGCTAAGATCATCTAGTCCAACCATCAACCTGTGTCTGCAACTGCATGTTATATTAGTGGATTTGTGTCTGTGTGTGTTTTTAAAGGCACTCTGCTCTGGAAGTCATTTCCACTGCTCAGTTTTTTGTACTGCTTTGTAGTGAAATGGGATTTCTCAAAAAATGTAAAATTTCAGTTTTGTTCATTGCGCATTTTGGCCACTGGCTCTGGGCAGGGTTTGTCTCAGAATAGTATGTTAATAAGCAGAGCTATTT